TTCGAAATATATACTACTTTCCAGAGAACGGCCCTTGTAAGCCATCATCCACATCAAATATGCCTGATGAGCTGCTTAACCAACGGCGAAACGCGTCGCATAGTGGTGAGTGTGTGATAGTGTCTATCTGGCTTTCCTTTTCACTGCAAATTTCAGATCATTAAGCTCGTCTCGAAAGAGAAAACAAACACTTAAATCATAAAACATATGATCTTCGCCTTAACAAGGCAAAACTCAATACATTGTTTCTTTGGTACACTTCCTGTACCGGTCGAAACTTATCACTCGCGCTCTTTTGTTGTATTTTTCCGAACTCTTCTCAAATGCATTGTGTAAATTTTCCTTAATTGTTTCCCTTAAAATTTCGAGCTTTCCCGGTCTATTCATTGCCTTTAGTTCATGATCAGTCAGTGACGTCAATTTTCGGGCTAACTTGTAGTCTTTCCCACTGGAAAACATATGAAAACCAAAAAGTGCGAAATGGGGAGTTACACTTGTTGAGGAATGTATCGAATTTCTGAGGGCACACTCTATTTCTGTCAAATACATATCCAATCCTTATGATCCTTATCAAGGTAAGTCTTAATTGCATTTATTACCGATTGGTTGACACGTTCGGAAGCGTTGGATTGGGGTGAATACACTGCTGTTCTTATATGGCTGATTTGATAACCTTCGATTAGGTCCTTAAAGGTCTGGGATGCAAACTGCGCCCCATTATCGCTGTGGATGACCTCAGGTACGCCGAATTTGTGAAAAATTTCCTTGACGAGGAATTTTGCTACATTTCTTGCAGTGGCCTCTTGCATGGCTTTAAGAAATATAAATTTGGTGAAGTTATCCACAACGATAAATATATAAGCATTCCCTCTTTTGGACCTAGGATACTTCCCGAGGAAGTCCACATATACTTTTTGAAAAGGTCTATCAGTTATCACCTCCTTTCCCATACTCGGCATCATGTGTTGGTTACTAGGTTTTGATTCTTTGCATAATTGGCAATTTCTTACATATTGCTTCACTTGCACGGTCATTCGGGGCCAATAGTAAAATCTTCGAACTCGTTCTAGAGTTTTTACCATACCCCCATGTGCCGCCGTAGTTATGTCATGAGCATTTTTGATTATTTCATGAGTAAGGCCTGAGGGAATTCATAGCTTCCATCGGACCTCCTCATCCTCATCTTGACCCGGAAATACTTTCTTATACATGTACCCATTTTCTATTTCCAGATCGGGTAACATGTTTTTATTTTCATCCATATTTTTGATTAATTCCCTGTACTCTTCACTTTCGAACTCCGTAGTCTCAAAATTTAACATTTCCCCAGGAGTAATCTCATTAACATCGAGCGTTGGTGCTCTGGAGAACATATCGGCAACCAGGTTCTCAGTTCCTTTTCGATGTTCTATGTTAAAATCGAAGGCTTGTAATTGTAACGACCACCTAGCTAACCTTCCAGTCAAGTCTTTCAAGCCCATCAGCCATTTTAGTGAGGCAAGGTCAGTTATTACGGTAAATGACATTAGTTCGACATATGGTCGGAACTTTTTAATCGCCATAACTGCTGCCAGACACTACTTCTCTGTCACGCTATAATTGCGTTGACAGGCATTTAACTTTTGGGAATAAAAAGCTATTGGATGTTCTTCATTCCTATCATTTATTTGATATAACACCGCCCCTATGCCATATTCGGACGCATCGCATTGAATGTAGAAATGCCTCGCAAAATTAGCATGTCGAAGGACCGGGGCGGATTTTAAGGCTTTTTTAAGGTTTTCAAAAGTCTGCACCGCACCATCATTACTCTCAAATTTCTTACCCCTTTTAAAGTATCTGTGAGGGGAGCGGAAATTGTGGCAAAGTTTCTAATAAAACGTCTATACCTACAATGAAACCCAGGTATCTAAGTTCCCTGAAACAGAACTGGGACTTGTTTAACCCAATCGTCAGATTCGCCCTCTTGAGGCATTCTGCAACCTCTTTCAGTAATTTCAAATGATTTTCAAACTCCCCCGATATTATAAGCAGATCATCTAGATAAATGAACACATTTTCTTTTAGATGTGATGGTATAACTTTATCCATAAGCCTACACAAGCGTTGAGCCGCATTGCAAAGGCCGAAAGGCATTACCCTAAATTGGTATAAAGGGCGACCTGGGACTGTAAACGCTGTGTAGGTTTTTCTCGTGTCATCTAGTTCGATTTGCCGGAAGGCGTATTTCAAATCGACACTGCTTATATAATGGGTTTCATCGATTGAAATGAATGCCGTCTATGTTTTGGAGCGGGTATGCATCCTTTACTGTTAGTTTATTCAATTTACGGGCATCCAAGCAGAACCTGTTCTTTCCGGGTTTCCTCACGACTGTGGTCCTATTACTCCATGGACTATTGCTTTCCTCTATCACATTTAGACATAGCATATTGTCTACTTCCTGATAGACAATGGCCTGTACCGCCGGAGAGATCGGATAATACCTGTCTTTGACCGGTTCAGCACCCTCGACGAGCTTTATAGAATGCTTCTCCAGGCTAGTCGAAAAGGTATCGAAGCCCCTGATTACCTTGTCCAACTGTTTTTGTTGTTCTTTGGACAATTCGTGAGGGTTTAATTTGTAAATATCTCCGTCGATAATGTATTTTTGGAACTGTTCTATTTTCATCTCCTCCACTGGTATTACTTGGGGGGCTAAATTATACACTCTCCAAAAATCTACCCCTAAATACAATTCCTGCTCTAGGTCGGGACACAAGTAAAATTCCATTTCTTTCTTAACGTTATTATAACTTATATTAATAATTTTTCCAATCAATCTGTGTTGACTTCCTGTGGCGGTTTTTATATTAGAGAATATCGGTTTTAAGTCGCAGTCTAAACTTTCTATTAGTTCCCTACAGCCCTTTTCCAGTAAGCTTACTGAAGCACCGGTGTCCAGCAGGCCCTTTAATTTATGACCATCTATATCGATTTCCGCAAAAGGTCTGGGGTCATGTTGGGTTCTAGCCCTGCTAATTGCTTCACTAATAATTTGATAATTTTTTCGTTTCGAATTAAATTTTTCCCCTACTTTCGGAATTTTTTTATCTGACTTTTGTGTGGACATCCAAATATCTTTTGTCTCACTTTGACATAATTTTCTTTTCGTTCATTCACAGATAAATAGTGTCTCATACCCGGGATAATATTAATGTTACTTTTTACTTTTTTTAGGCTGAAACGTTTTACCACAGGGATGTCTAATTCGGACGGGGTCTCCCTTCCTGATCCCCGCCCTTGTTCCCATTTTCCTGCTGGCACATTCTACATCTGGGGGTAGTAGTTCCAGGGTTGCCGCACTTATAACAGAATAATTCCCTAGTCGCTTCCTCACAATCGCGGAAAAAATGTCCTAATTGCCTGCAATTCCAACAGGTTAGTTGGGGTTTTACTTGCCTGTTGTACTGCATATCAGCCAATTCTTTCAATTCACCCTCCTCTTGTTCATCCGAAAACCTAACATGTCAGTCGGTTTTCCCGCCTTAAAAAGTTCCTCTCGGCCTCAATACACTCCACTCTTAGCTGTTCAACTGATGACACTTGAATCGGATATACAATTGTTCCTATACCGTCTGTAACGTTTTTCTTCAGAATTTTCATCATGTCACATTCCGAGATAGGTTGCACCAATTTGGCTCGAACTTGACCCATTGCATGAAAAAAATTGTCTACCGATTCGTTGATTTGCTGTTTCCTTTGGGCAAGTTCCGTGAGGATTTCAAAATTTGACTTAGACGATTGGTATTGGCTCAAAATACTATATTTAAGATGGTCCCAGCTATGGATTTCATGCGTCTTTTGTAATAGCCAATACCAAGACTCAGCTCTACCGGACAATATAAGGGTAAAGTGTCTTATGACTTCCGACTATGGTATGTTATATTGCTTTTGATAATATTCCAATCGGTAAACGAACTCTTCAACTCCTAAACTGTTGGAACCTCCATCAAACGTAAGACCCAATTTATTAAGTCGAACTATACTAAACTCTTTTCCAGTCTCCATGGTTACCGTCCTAGTGTGCGAACCATTTGTTCCGCCATTATTTGAACTAGACGATGTTGGTGCTATGGACACCTCTTTAGGTTTTGTCTCATTTGGCCGCCTTTCTGGACGAGTGTCCGTAGACGGGAGCGCTGTGATTCCCCCATGGTTTAGCATTCCATTGGATTTACGTTCAGGTGTGTTGCTGACATTTCCACCCTGTTTTCTCAAAAGTTGGTCCATTGCGGATGTCAAGTCCCCAAGTGTCTTTCTTATATCACCCATCTCGGACAGAACCCTTTTAATGGATGTTTCTAAGACCTTAATCTGTTCAGGATTATGAACAGTTCTCTGGGTCTCCGACCCCTCTCCAGCCCCCTGAAGATATAAAGGACCTAAGGCATTGGACATCGGGGCTCTCGAATTAATGGTTTGAGAAAAATCCTTAATTTGCCCCTCGCCATGCTGGTTTTCTTCTGCCATTTTTTCTAGATTTTGAGATTTCTGCTGTTTTTCTTCCAAGATGTTTATGGTCCTATTCAAGTCAAATAAAATTGGCCTATCTCTTTTTCTTCTTTTAGATTTGGAGCGAGTCTCCCTACTCATTACCCTTGGTCTCTATATTTTTTATTTTTTTACCACAAAGACTTTTTAACAGGTATATAAAAACAACGAAGTATCTCTAAAAAAAAAACAATTTCTTAAATCACTTTCTAGAATCAAATTTCAAAAGTAAAAAAATTTTAAAATGAGAGTAATTTTTTTTATAATCCTTTAATCTCTTTTATATGTATAAATTTTTTTATTAGGAGGTTTATTATGATGAGGTGTGGGGTACGCGGTTTTTTGGCTATATCCGTCGCTATGGTTGTGATGGTACATTCAACTACTACCAAAAATACAAAATAAATTGAAAATGCAAAACGTTTGATTTGATATATGCACTGATTCCATACTTCATCAGATATTAGTTTATATATTTTTAGGTACAACGGTCCTCTAGACTCCTCCAGAGCGGATACCCAGACATATAAACTGGATCACTACCAAACATACTGCTAATTCTATAACTTTTGTTTTATCTAGGATGGTCAGTGCGGATACTCTTGTTAATAATCTAAGAGGTATGTCACCTTTTATCCCCAGTTTGTACTTGTCATTGCCTCTATTTCTCTGACTTATCCATTATCAGTGGTTGTAGTACATCACTTTCTGGCCCATTGTCCAGAATGGCTACTACATTCACTGATTTGTCTATTCAGATTCCAAGAAACTAATGTTGGTCTTTTTCTCTTTTTATTTAGTTGGCTATTGCTAAGTGTGTTGATGACGTACACTTCCTATATTAATACACCGCAAGGGTTTCTTTGGTTTGGGCGCCATATTGTTACGTGTCCTTTTAAGCGGAGCCAGATCGATGCCTCTATATCGCCGACTCTCTTGGGGCAGGTTCCATCCCGACATCTCTTGCCCAGGAACGCACACAATCGATTTGGTCTATTCCTATTGATAATTTACTTTAACTTCTGCCATCAAAACTCCGGACTCCGGGTTCAGAGTCAAACTTAGCCGCCCACCCGACCATAGTCATCCTACCAATCTTGCCTTGATGACCCCTATTACCGCTGGAAGTACCACCACTCACCTCATCTTCCTTTCCCTCCTTTCCTTTTCAGTTAAACTATCATATTTCTAATTGTCTAAAGATTCACATTATATTTATTGAAAAATGTTGATTTTATTTTATGATTAGGTATCCTTTTTCCTTAATTATTACTATTTAAAACTAATAAAAAAACTGAGAAACATTAAAATAAATATAGAACAAAAAAATTAATAAAATATAGTTTGATGTTCTCCTTTTTTATAATATCTTCTCTCTGACCAAAGGAATGTCGAAAGGTTCTTCGAACCAAATAAAAGAAGTCTTGATAAACAGAACGATTGACCGACTGGTCTATTAGAACCCACAATACTTTGCAAAACTACGTCCTTATCAGTGGACAATGCTCAATAAACTCCAATACCCTAGATTTCCTAATAGAGCTCTATTATAGGCTTAGGATCAACTATATCGCCAGATGCACAATTGTGGTTCCTAGTGTGAAGCAAATACGACGTAAACTAGACGAGGAAAGGAAACGTTATCATTTACACTCAAATAAAAATAGTCAATTTGGATAAAAAAATAAAAACAATATGCAAAGCAAAATATAAATAAATCATACAATACGTTATACACTTAGAAACTAAAGATAATTTATGAAAATTATTTTCTTTGACGATTTTAACTGGTTATGCTTATTTTGATCTCATTCAGTCGTCACATAACCAAATGCCAGTCTTTTTATACGGGACTGACTGTGGCAGAGATACTTCGGCGAATTATAACTGTTATACGTAAATTCGCTCGGGCACAAAGTTATATATTCTCAGGTAAAGTTCTGGTACTGAGCTTTTGCAAAGTTTTTGTCAGCTCGGGTGTTTCCTCTAGGTGGCAGTGGGCTATGCGCCGTAAGGTAATTGGCAATACTAATGTCCTACCTTTTTTCCGACTTTTTACTTGGGTAATCTATTTTAGTGGCTATATTTCCTCTACGATACTTCCGTCCAACAAACAAGGTTTCTGGTGGCCTAAACGAAACAAACCATGTCTTACCATTACTCTATACTTATTAAACGCCGAAATCTGCATATTACCTTTCTTAATTGCTGGTTCAATAATGCGTCTGAGGATAAAATTGGGCTTTGACCACTTTATATATAACAACACCCTGCGATAGTCACCTATTTTACACGATAAAAAAATTCAACTTCTTCGTTCATAAGACACTGTTTTCTTATTTTACCTTTATCTTAATCAAATCAATGTTCGGCAGATATCGCCTTTATTATATTTAAATTCACTTTATAATTTTTCAAAAACTTTGTACTTTATTCCCACAGAGAAGTTAATGTTTCTCACTCAGCACCAATGCTTAAAATCACCGTTCTCTGGTTTTAACACTTATTTATAAGCTTAGAGAGAAAAAATGGCAGCTTTCCATTAACCGACATATTGATCTATCCCTTATTGTTATCCTTCTTTTGTCCCTAGTATTTGTCCCTTTCACTGGGCGGTACCCTTATGCATAGGTTTTCCTCTTAATTCAGAAAGCTTTCAATTATTTGGTCTCCACCAAGAATGAATATTCCGCCATTGTGCTGATAATAGGTGTGTCTGGTTACTTTTCCTGCAGGAATTATCCAGCAACATCTTTCTGAGAGAGTAAGGTAGTGTTATTCTCTTTTGCAAGCAAATTGCGAAAAGTAAACAGACGGTATTCCTGCAGAAATTTGCAACTAATCAGCTGATTTGTCAAAACAAACCAATTTGTCCCCCATTAAAAGAATTAAACGAAAGGTACCACCACCAATTTCACAAATTTTATAAATAAAAAGGAAATTGACAATAAAATGAAAATTTGAGCAATAAAAGGAAGATAGATTTGATGTGTTCCGCGAAATCCTTTAAACCTGTTGCTAATGGCATTTGTCTAAAAATGTTGGAAATAGTCTTTTATTTTCTTATTACATATTAATATTTATGTTTTTCACATTTTGTAAAGTTGTTCTTCAAAAACAATTAGTCTTGCTAATTCCAAAACAATATTTGCAAATTAAAATCACAAAAATAAATAAATAAACAATAGAAAACATCTGATTGTATGTCGATGAATGAGAAGAAGAAGAGTTGCAAGAGATTGCAAGAAGAAATTTGTCCAGCAAGAATTTGCAAACTCTCACTGAAAGAACTGTCAAAATCTCTCTCCAACCGCTCTTTTTTGCAGAACTTTCGGGTTAACAGACGACTTCCAGTAACAATTTGTAACAATTGTTACAAATTTTAGGGTAACCAGACACACCTAATACATTGTTATCAAAACATTTCGTTGGCAACGCGATAGTCTGCTGTCAAATGACGAATAGAAGAATGTAAACAAAGAACAAAAGGTATTTTAATAACCGAGCAGCTGCGGCATTCTTCGTATACGTCCAAACAAATATTATCTTTATTTTTACTAATATATATTTTTCTTTTCGTTTCAGGTTTTGCCGCATGTTGCTGTGTGAAGGAAGCCCCACAAACTTTTGGTAGATCAATTCTTCATTTCTTTAGGAACGTAGATTGTTCTACCGACAGAGGTTGATGGTTCTATATGGATAAAGTACTGCGTTTTTTAAAGTATCCCCCTGCAGAATCCTACCATTAAATGGTCAGCATTTCCACAACCTAAATTAATGGCATGGCTAAACCTGACCACAATTAAAGGTTACCCGCATCAAATGTCTGTTTTACAGGCATGGCTAACCATTGCCGTCATTTTAAGTTTACCCTCAGCAAGTGCCTTTTTCATGAATATACACACAACGCAAAAAAAAAAAAAGAACTTAAAACTGGGCTCAATTATTAAGGTGATTAAAGGCTTCCACGATGCAAAAATATGCCTCTCCTAAGTACCCGTCACGCAAAATTTTTTTTTGCTTGGGACTTAGAATTTGGTGGTTCCGCAACAAAATATATATGGGAGCTATATCGAAATCTGTACAGATTTCAATATAATTTTCAAATTTATTTTTGTACCAAATTTGATTAAAATTTGAGATATAAAGCGTGTTTGGTGCATCAAATATATACGAAATCGGCCTTAAATATATATGAACGCTATATCCAAATTTGAACTGATTTCAATATACCTAATTGGTAAATTTACTTTTGGTACCAAATTTCATCACTCATTTTGAATTTTATGGTAATCGGACAAACCTACAGTGTTTGAATAAAATATATAAGGGAGCAATATCCAAATCTGAACCGATTTTTATATAATTTGGCAAACATTTTTTATACCCTCCACCTTGGAAAGGAGAGTATATTAACTTTGTCGTTCCGTTTGTAACATTCCTAAATATTCGTCGTAGACCCCATAAAATATATATATTCATAATCAGCATAAAATTCTAAATCGATGTGACGTTGTCCGTCTGTCTGTCTGTCTGTTGAAATCACGGTACAGCCCACATTATTTGACGTAGAGCGTCAAAATTTAGCAGAATAATTTGTATTGTGTCAAAGATGGTTGGTATTGAAAATGAGATAACAAAATTTTCTAGAGGTATCTCAGTTTTTAATGCTTTATCTCCAGTTTAATTTAAAACAAGTAAAATAGCAGCTAAGTTTGGCCGGACCGAACAGTTAATAAAAAAAAAAACAAGTAAAAAAGCAGTAAGTTCGGCCGGGCCGAACTTTGAATACCCTCCACCATTTGGAACGAATTAGAAAATTTTCAAAAAAATAGAATCCAATAAAAATTCTTTTAAAATCTTTAAAATATCTAATATAGGAAGGTGCCGATATATGGGGGGATATACGATATTGTGGACCTATAGACAATTCCGTTTCAGGGGTAAAGTTCTCACAAAGAACTCCGTGTGTGGATTTTCAGACAATACGATTGGAAAATGTGGCTAAAATCATCAAAATACCGAATATCGCGGGGTACCGTTATATGGGAGCTATACGTTATCGTTAACCTATATAGAGAATTTTCTGTCGGGGGGTAAAGTGCTCACAAAGAACCCCTTGTGTACAAAGAACCCCTTGTGACCATTCGTTGAAAAATATGGCTAAAAACATCAAAATACCGAATATCGGGGGTACAGTTATATGGGGGATACACGATATCGTGGACCTGTATAGACAATTCTCTCTCAGGGGGTGAAGTACTCACAAGGAACTACTTGTGTTGATTTTGAGATAATTCCATTGAAAAGCGTGGCTAACATCATTAAAATACCGAATATCGGGGTTACAGTTATATGGGGGATATACGATATCGTGGACCTATATAGACGATTCTTTTTGAGGAGGTAAAAGTGCCCACAAGGGACTCCTTTTGTGGAATTTCAGGGAATTCCATTGAAAAAATGTGGGTAAAATCATCAAAATACCGAATATCGGGGGTACCGCTATATGGGGGCTATACGATATTGTGGACCTATATAAGTAATTCTCTGCCGAGGTACAAAGTACCCACAAGGAAATCCTTATGTGGATTTTCAGGCAATTCCGTTGAAAAATGTGGGTAAAATCATCAAAATACCGAATATCGGGGGGTACCGTTATATGGGGGATATACGATATCGTGGACCTATATAGACAATTATTTTTGAGGAGGTAAAATGCTCGCAAGGGACACCTTTTGTGGAATTTCAGACAATTCCATTGAAAAATTTGGCAAAAATCATCAAAATACCGAATACCGTGGGGGTACCGTTACATGGGGGCTATACGATATCGTGGACCTGTATGGACATTTATCTGCCGAGGTATAAAGTACCCACAAGGAACTCCTTGTGTGGATTTTCAGACAATTCCGTTGAAAAATGTGGGTAAAATCATCAAAATACCGAATATCGGGGGTACCGTTATATGGGGGCTATACGATATTGTGGACCTATATAGATAATTCTCTGCCGAGGTATAAAGTACCCACAAGGAACTACTTGCGTGGATTTTCAGACAATTCCATTAAAAAATGTGGCTAACATCATCAAAATACCGAATATCGGGGGTACCGTTATATGGGGGCTATACGATATTGTGGACCTATATAGGTAATTCTCTGCCGAGGTATAAAGTACCCACAAGGAACTCCTTGTGTGGATTTTCAGACAATTCCGTTGAAAAATGTGGGTAAAATCATCAAAATACCAAATATCGGGGGGTACCGTTATATGGGGGATGTACGATATTGTGGACCTATATAGATAATTCTCTGCCGAGGTATAAAGTACCCACAAGGAACTCCTTGTGTGGATTTTCAGACAATTCCGTTGAAAAATGTGGGTAAAACCATCAAAATACCAAATATCGGGGGGTACCGTTATATGGGGGATGTACGATATTGTGGACCTATATAGATAATTTTCTGCCGAGGTATAAAGTACCCACAAGGAACTACTTGTGTGGATTTTCAGACAATTCCATTGAAAAATGTGGCTAACATCATCAAAATACCGAATATCGGGGGTACTGTTATATGGGGGATATACGATATCGTGGACCGATATAGCCCATCTTCGAACTTGACCTGCCTGCAGACAAAAGATCTATCTTAATTCGTTTAGACTGTAGCGTGATTACAACAGACGGACAGACGGACGGACGGACAGACGGACGGACAGGGCTAAATCGTCTTTGAATTTTACGCTGATCAAGAATATATATATTTTGTTGGGTCTAAAATGATTATTTCTATGAGTTACAAATGGAATGACGAGATTAATATACCCTCCATACCTTTTTTGGTGGAGGGTATAAAAAACAGAAAACTAACACTTAATTGAAAACCGTTGGGGGCTATACGAAGACGTGGTCCTGCATACGAAATTTTTTGTCATAGGCTGTAGTCCCTTTACGAACTTCAAATACTAAATTTTAAATAATTCAGGTAATTAATGTCGTTAATATCGTGAAAATACCGAATATCCTTGTATGCAAAATTTTAGCTTTCTATCTCAATTCGTTCGAAATATAGCGTGAATGCAACAGACAGACAGACGGGATATATATATACTTTGTAGGGTCTATTATGAATATTTCGAGGAGTTAGAAACGGAATGACAAAGCTAATATACCCTCCATAGAATCAACGAACGAAAATGAACTATTGGAAACGTCTGCAATCGTTTCGTTCTGTTTTTTCTCGAAGTACGAAACGAAACAAAACCGATATTAAGATAACGGGACTTGTTTCTTCTTTTGTACTGTTTGTGTAGATGAGTGAAAAGAAAAACTAAACTGAAATGTACTCTGGTGGATGACGCAACATTGGAAACGAAACAGTACAATACTCATTGCTAATGTTTGCAAACGTTTTCCTGTATATTAACTCAATACACATAATGTACAAACTAATTAAAAGTTAGAATTATTTATTTTTATTCATTTATTTGACAATCATACAAGGTAAAAAGCGCAAAAAAAAACAATATTAAGAATAACAACTCTTGACGTACCTGTCATCATTTAGACAAGCAGACGTTTGCAAAAGTTTCGTGGCGATTGGTTCGTAAACGATACAGCTCGGCTGCACACACCCGAAGTACATTAAGGCAATCGTATTGTTTGTGTACTTCTGGCATTGAAATGTTTGTGGTTTCGTTTTGTTTGGAGTACGAAACGATTAAAAAACAAGTAAAAAAGCAGTAAGTTCGGCCGGGCCGAACTTTGAATACCCTCCACCATTTGCAACGAATTAGAAAATTTTCAAAAAAATAGAATCCAATAAAAATTCTTTTAAAATCTTTAAAATATCTAATATAGGAAGGTGCCGATATATGGGGGGATATACGATATTGTGGACCTATATAGACAATTCCGTTTCAGGGGTAAAGTTCTCACAAAGAACTCCGTGTGTGGATTTTCAGACAATACGATTGGAAAATGTGGCTAAAATCATCAAAATACCGAATATCGCGGGGTACCGTTATATGGGAGCTATACGTTATCGTTAACCTATATAGAGAATTCTCTGTCGGGGGGTAAAGTGCTCACAAAGAACCCCTTGTGACCATTCCGTTGAAAAATATGGCTAAAAACATCAAAATACCGAATATCGGGGGTACAGTTATATGGGGGATACACGATATCGTGGACCTGTATAGACAATTCTCTCTCAGGGGGTGAAGTACTCACAAGGAACTACTTGTGTTGATTTTGAGATAATTCCATTGAAAAGCGTGGCTAACATCATCAAAATACCGAATATCGGGGGTTACAGTTATATGGGGGATATACGATATCGTGGACCTATATAGACAATTCTTTTTGAGGAGGTAAAATGCCCACAAGGGACTCCTTTTGTGGAATTTCAGGGAATTCCATTGAAAAAATGTTGGTAAAATCTTCAAAATACCGAATATCGGGGGTACCGCTATATGGGGGCTATACGATATTGTGGACCTATATAGGTAATTCTCTGCCGAGGTACAAAGTACCCACAAGGAACTCCTTATGTGGATTTTCAGACAATTCCGTTGAAAAATGTGGGTAAAATCATCAAAATACCGAATATCGGGGGGTACCGTTATATGGGGGATATACGATATCGTGGACCTATATAGACAATTATTTTTGAGGAGGTAAAATGCTCGCAAGGGACACCTTTTGTGGAATTTCAGACAATTCCATTGAAAAATTTGGCAAAAATCATCAAAATACCGAATACCGTGGGGGTACCGTTACATGGGAGCTATACTTTATCGTTAACCTATATAGAGAATTCTCTGTCGGGGAGTAAAGTGCTCACAAAGAACCCCTTGTGTACAAAGAACCCCTTGTGACCATTCCGTTGAAAAATGTGGCTAAAAACATCAAAATGCCAAATATCGGGGGTACGGTTATATGGGGGCTATACAATATCGTGGACCTATATAGATAAATCTCTTCCGAGGTATAAAGTACCCACAAGAAACTCCTTGTGTGGATTTTCAGACAATTCCGATGAAAAGGCAACATTATTTGCGTCAATTGAATTTTGTACGGGAACAAATGCAAATCAATACGAATAATCCGTTGTAAAGTGGACCGAGTCATGCCCAACTGTTGAGAACGGCGTTTTTGGGATGTTCTTGGGGACCTCTCAACACTGGCTCGTACGGCAGCGATATTC